TAATAATAATAATAATAATAATAATAATAATAATAATAATAATAATACATTTGATTTGTATAGTGCTTTTCTAAATATACATATTTATAGTCATTTCTAGAGGGCAAAAGGCTGCCAAGTCAGCTAATACTCAGTCTGGAGTTTACTTGGTTGTGTGTATTTGTGTGTAGTTACCCATCCCAGAGGTAAATGATGAGATAAGCAGGAACGAGGCAAAGACTGCGGACGATCCACAGGAAGAGATGAGTGACATTCTGACACAGTTCAGTTCAACCAGTATGCACCATTTACTTCCTTTTACTGTTTATTACAGATGCTTAGGTTTTGTTTTCAAAAACATTTTGAACAGACTAAACTTCAAGGATCAAAATTATTTGGCACATTTTACTTCAATTTCAAGTCTACAAAAGGTCAAAACTCTTCCAGAAAATATTATATTGTTCTTTCATATCCAAAGATTGTTATTGGTAATCAGCATTTGTTGCCTAAATTAATTTGACCTGAGTGCATTTTGTTAAATGAAAAAAAAAAGTTTGATTTTAGATTTTATAACTTTTTTTTTTGCCAATCACTGAACAATTTAAAAAAAGTTCTCTCAGCAATATTGTGAATTGCATCTGTAAAATACTGAAGTAAATTATATAACCCATTAACTCCAGCCTAAAAGCTTGATTTTATATTTTTTTCAATGATGCTCTTTACAGAACCAGGTGTTCACCCCTACTGGATCGGTGATCTGGACAGCATCATCATGAAGTCTCCTGAGTTGTACACCAGTCCTCGTGAAAATGGTGGTTTCTATAAAACGAGGAAGTCTCTGTCCCAACAGCTGGAGTTTTCTCACACCCATACTCAGGTACTGGCCTCATCAGAAACAATGTCTATGCAGGGGGAGGTCATTGCAAAATGTATTTATGAATATCATGGAACAATTATTCACCTCACCAGGATTTACAGCAAGAACACTGGAATGGCATTGCGACTGGATAAATGCAGTCAATTGTAGGTAAGAGAGGCAAGGTGAGCACAAATGAAGGGGTTGAACTACCTAAAGGCAACATTGGAGATGTCCAGGACAGCAACAAACACTTTGGAACCCCACAGGCAAATGGCAATCATGATGAGGCTGCAAAAAAGTCAGCCACAATCATGTATGTACAGAGTAAGGCAGAGCCGGAAGAGTCAGCTGATTGGCAAAAACAAAGTCCAAGACATCAACACATATGCAGTGCCAGTTATCAGTTACCCAGCTCATATAATGGATCTGGTCAAAGCAGGACATAAAAAACACTAAAATCAAAATTCAAAAGCTCCTCACGACACATGGAGGGTTTCACCCCAATTACAGCACCCTGAAACTATATGATGAGAGGAGGGAGGTAGAGGATTAGTGAGTGTCTGAGCCACTACAGTGCCTTGTGAAAGTATTCGGCCTCCTTGAACTTTTCAACCTTTTGCCACATTTCAGGCTTCAAACATAAAGATATAAAATTTAAATTTTTTGTGAAGAATCAACAAGTGGGACACAATCGTTAAGTGGAATGAAATTTATTGGATGTGTCAAACTTTTTTAACAAATAAAAAACTGAAAAGTGGGGCATGCAATATTATTCGGCCCCCTTGCATTAATACTTTGTAGTGCCGCCTTTTGCTGCAGTTCCAGCTGCAAGTCTCTTGGGGTTTGTCTCTATCAGTTTTGCACATGGAGACACTGAAATTCTTGTCCATTCTTGCAAAACAGCTCGAGCTCAGTGAGGTTGGATGGAGAGCGTTTGTGAACAGCAGTCTTCAGCTCTTTCCACAGATTCTCGATTGGATTCAGGTCTGGACTTTGACTTGGCCATTCCAACACCTGGATACGTTTATTTGTGAACCATTCCATTGTAGATTTTACTTTATGTTTTGGATCATTGTCTTGTTGGAAGATAAATCTCCGTCCCAGTCTCAGGTCTCTTGCAGACTCAAACAGGTTTTCTTCCAGAATGGTCCTGTATTTGGCCCCATCCATCTTCCCATCAATTCTGACCATCTTCCCTGTTCCTGCTGATGAAAATCTGGCCCAAACCATGATGCTGCCACCACCATGTTTGACAGTGGGGATGGTGTGTTCAGGGTGATGAGCTGTGTTGCTTTTATGCCAAACATATCGTTTTGCATTGTGGCCAAACAGTTCGATTTTGGTTTCATCTGACCAGAGCACCTTCTTCCACATGTTTGGTGTCTCCCAGATGCTTGTGTCAAACTTTAAACAACACTTTTTATGGATATCTTTGAGAAATGACTTTCTTCTTGCCACTCTTCCATAAAGGCCAGATATGTGCAGTGTACGACTGATTGTTGTCCTATGGACAGACTCTCCCACCTCAGCTGTAGATCTCTGCAGTTCATCCAGAGTGATCATGGGCCTCTTGGCTGCATCTCTGATCAGTCTTCTCCTTGTTCAAGGGGAAAGTTTAGAGGGACTGCCGGGTCTTGGTAGATTTGCAGTAGTCTGATACTCCTTCCATTTCAATATGATTGCTTGCACAGTGCTCCTTGGGATGTTTAAAGCTTGGGAAATCTTTTTGTATCCAAATCTGACTTTAAACTTCTCCACAACAGTATCTCGGACCTGCCTGGTGTGTTCCTTGGTCTTCATGATGCTCTCTACACTTTGAACAGAACCCTGAGACTATCACAGAGCAGGTGCATTTATACGGAGACTTGATTACACACAGGTGGATTCTATTTATCATCATCAGTCATTTGGGACAACATTGGATCATTCATAGATCCTCACTGAACTTCTGGAGTGAGTTTGCTGCACTGAAAGTAAAGGGGCCCAATAATATTGCACGCCCCACTTTTCAGTTTTTATTTGTTAAAAAAGTTTGACACATCCAATAAATTTCATTCCACTTCACAATTGTGTCCCACTTGTTGATTCTTCACAAAAAAGTAAAATTTTATATCTTTATGTTTGAAGCCTGAAATGTGGCAAAAGGTTGAAAAGTTCAATGGGGCTGAATACTTTCGCAAGGCACTGTATATAGGATTAAACAACTAAGAGCCTGGAGGACATCAGGAGGATAGCCCCTGACAATGAACTGATGAATAAATGTCTCAGGCAGTAGCAGAAACCCAATGTGGAAGTGGTGGAACAAGAGGAGCCATGATGGAAAGATAAGCCCCTGCATGGCATGTACTACCAGGATTGAAGAAGTGACTGCTATCAACAAATCTGACCAAAAGGATAAAGTATTAAAAAATAAACAATATACAAAGATCTAAGATATACACTAAACAATAATAATGTAATATAATATGGTGTATTAAACAGCAGTCTGAGTCTGTAGTGAGTAGATGGGTACGCATATAGAATCTTAAAGGCAAGAAATCAGCAGCATGGACTATCATAATAAGGCTCAGTCTTAAAGAAAAAATTAGGAGTTCCATCATCCAGGAGGAGCTCAGTAGAACCACTGATTCTCCTCATTAAGAGGAGTCAGCTGAGGTGGTTCAGACATCGGATTAGGATGACTGCAGGGTAGACTCAGATATCTGGCCTGGGGATGCTCAGAAGAACCAGGAGATACATGCTAAATGAACAGTAACAAATGCTAAACGATACGCTAAAAGATCTAAGATACAGTATATGCTAAACACTAATAAGTAAAACAATACAGTACATTAAACAGCAGCCCGAACATGAGTCTGTAGTGAGTAGATGGGTATGAATGAATACAGCAGCATGAGCTAATCAGCAGCATGAGATCAGCAGCATGGATAATCAGTAGCACAGATAAGTCACATACCATCAATTAAAGAAGCATTACAGTGATGATCCTGGTTAGGGATCTACGAGTCTAAAAGTTTCAGGGTAGAATCTGTTCTTCAGTCTGGTGGTTCTACACTTAATGTTCCACAGTTTTCTGCCTAAGGGGAGCAGGGCAAAAAAAATGTGTGTGCTGGGTGAGTGGGGCCCTTCATGATGCATGTGGCCCTCTTCCTGCATCTGAAGGTGTAGGGTGGGGAGGCTGACATCAACAGTCTTCTGTGCAGCCTTCACCACTCTCTGCAGAGCTTTTCTTTCTGCAGCTGTGCAGCCTCGTGCCACACGTTGATGCTATAGCACAGGTTGATCTCCACTGCACATCTGTAGAAGGAGGTGAGGACTGAGTCATAATGTCCCAGCATCCGAAGAACATCAGGCTGTAGCTTATGTACTTTGTACTCAGCAGAGCAGTCTTCCAAATCAGGTGCAGATGTGGAGTGGTGGCTGATTAGGATGGGCTGCAGCTGTGGTGAGTGTGGCTGGAAACCTAGAAATCTCACAGTACCCACCTCTAAAGAATCACCTCTTGGCGATTCCATGCTTTTATCAGGATGATCTCTATAAAATTATGATATTAAATCAGGATTTAAGATGAGAGATCTGGGGATCCATGAACGCTCCTCCGGGTCATAGCCCTCCCAGTCCATCAGGTATCAAAACCCATGTCCTCTGCATCATTTGTCCAGGGAGCACCTGATGGTGAATGTGAGTTCATTGTCGATCAACCATGTTGGTGGAGGGAGGTTGGTCAGAGAGTTTAATTAGCTAGTGATTACTTGTTTTATGTGAGAAATGTAAAGAACCTTGAACCATGAACCTTAACGAGGCTTCAAGCTCCTGGTTGCACCTTTTGGTTCATCCATTCGATTAGGGATGGTACCCACGGTTAAGCTGGAGGTTGCACCCAGGAATTGGCAGAAGGCTTTCCATACTTGTGAAATGAATTGGGGTCCCCTGTCTGAAACAATGTCCAGAGGGATGCCGTGAAGGCACACAAAAAGTGTGTGTGCTGGGTGAGTGGGGTCCTTCATGATGCAGGTGGCCCTCTTCCTGCATCCAGTTTTGAAGGGGCATCTCTAGTGACTAGTTGGTCTTTAATTTGTTCATTTAGTGCGTTGATGAAATCTCCTTTCAGAGCTTTTTCCCCTCATTTGGACTCCTCCGCAACAATGCGGAAGTGGATCGTGAACTCTGAAATGGTCTTTTTACCTTGCTGTAGTGTGAACATTTTTTGAGCTGCCTCCTCCTGTTAAAGGGGATTATCAAAGGCATGTAGGAAATCATTGAGAAAGGTAGAAAAAGTTAGTGATTTGATGGGTCATCTCTGGAGTTAAATGCGCTCTCATTGGAGAGCTTCTCCTTTGTGAGAGCTAATAATATAGGTAATGCAAGAAGAACTGAAGGAGTAAGTTAGCGGCGCACAATTAAATGCAAGATTACGTTGTAGAATAAATCCACCACATTGACTGGCATTACCTTCAAAAAATTGGATAGTCGTATATCAGGTTCTTGGGGAGTCATGATGCTCGGGTTGACAAATGGAGTAGGTTAAGGTTGACGAGGTTCACATTGTCAGCGAACACAACTCAAAACGGTTCGTAAATCAAAAGTAAAGCATTCATGTCCCGTTCAGAGGTGAGCTTCCAGAAATTAATTGTCCGTCTGAACCAAAGAGGTAGAGCAGAACTCTGCTGTGCTGAATCAGAGCGGTGTATTCAATGTATGTCAGACATCTCCCTTGTCTCATTTCCTACCATGAATTAACTCACATTGGTAATCCTCTTTGTGGTTAACTACTTTCATAAACTAATTACAAAGTTGCTGTGCACTATCATCAATATTCTCTCAGTATCGAGAGTGTTTGTGTACTAAAATGTAAAATTGAGTAGAAGATAGATAAATCCAGTAAAACAAAATATTTCTCAAGCAAACAAATTATTCCAGCTACCAGCAGAGAAAACAGGAAGTGGCACAATATGCATTACTGCAAACATCCACAGCATGATTGAGCACAATGAGTTAGAGGTTAGGTTTAGACTTGGGGTCAGGGTTAGGATGCAATAATTAATGGAAGTCAAGTAATGGTCCTAATAAGCATAGAAATACAAGTTGGTATTTGTGTATAATTGTTTGTAATTGTGTGTGTGCTGCTCCTTTGCAGGCAGTGGACCACCCCTCACACTCCCTCAGTTCTGCTCAGCTGTTGAACCAGTCCAGCAACGTGCACGCCTTCATAATCTGCAGTATTGTGCTGATAAAGGGTCATGGCAAGGTGGGAACCAGAACACTGTAAACTGAGAAGTTTCTCCTGGGTAGTTTATCTACCATTTATACTCCTCACTGTGTGCATGTGACCTAAATTATTGCTGTTATTTTAGTTTAGCGAGATATACTAATCAGCAAACTGATGTGTACTGCAGTGCACACCCACCCACACAGACCAGTATTTGCAGTTTGACTCCCATCACCCTCTGGTACCACACAGCTGACTGCGTCCCCACTAACTCAGGAACCAGGCAGAAGGATAAATTCCACACAAGGCAGGTCCTGGAGCAATGTAGATATCCTGACTGGGCCTTCCTGAAAGCAAAGAAGAAACCCAAACAGGACTCCAGCCAGCCATCAGGTGAAAAAAAGCAACCCAGACCAGTGGTCATTCCATGTTACGAGAGTTTCAGAGAAATTGAGACGTTTATTTTCTAAACATAACATCCCAGTGGCTTTTAAACCCTAAAATACATTACGGCAAAGACTGGTTCATCCCAAAGATCCAGTCCCCCGGCACAAACAGAGTAATGTTGTGTATGCTGTTCAGTGTCAGCAGGGCTGTGACCAGTCTTACATCAGGGAAACTAAACAGCCATTGACCAAAAGGATGGCCCATCACAGAAGATCAACATCATCAGGCCAGGACTGCAGTTTACACTCATCTGTAGGTCAGCAGTCACTCTTTCAGGGATGGAGATTCAATTCACTTCAGTTAATTTATATAGCGCAGAGTCACAACAGAAGTCATCTCAGGGCGCTGAACAGAAACATTCATATATATATATAAAGATGTTCTCATCCTTGATAGAGAGGAACGATGGTTTGAGAGAGGAGTAAAGGAGGCCATCTTTGTGAAAAGAAATCGTCCATCATTAAACAGGGGTGGAGGCCTCTGGGTTCAACTGTCCCCCTCTTACAATGCTGTGATTGCTAGTCTCACTCAGCCCCCTGTGAATAGCAAGCAGCCATCAGGGTACTAACAATCATTCATTAGTCTGATGGTCCTCCTTTATCATGTGAACAGCTAGTTTTGAATGTCAACAACAAATTGATTGATCCATTATTAGAAGGGGCTATTTATAAAACTGCTTTTACAGCTCCTCAGACTTTTGAATTAAACAGGAAACGTTTCAACAATTTTTATTTTTATATTTTATTTTTCTACTTTTTGCATCTGTCCAGAGGACCTGACTTAACTTTGAGATTTTTCTACCTGGATTATTGAGCATGCATCAGAAGTCACGTTAACTTACATGCTGTGTAAATACTGTTACCTCGGACAAATATCAGACTTCCCAGTTCAAGTGAATGCAGCTTCCTTCCGGAGAGCATGTAAAATAAATAAATACATACACACGCTGGCACAGAAAGCTCTCGAGACTTTGGGTCTCCAATATGCCTAATAATTATTCCTCATCATGCTACAAGTCTGTGATACACAAGGTCAACAGGGTGCTGCAGACGACATGTGCCATGGTCAACATGCGTCAAGTGGCTTGGACATCAGTAATAACTGCTTGCAGTTCTAGTTATTATTATTATTATTATTATTATTATTATTATCATTATTAATCAGGCAGTGCTTTAAGGGTTCTGCTGCTGTTTTCAGGGTCTGGGCTTCAGTATCGTGGGGGGTCAGGACAGCCCGTATGGACCCATGGGAGTCTATGTGAAGACCATTTCTCCTTCAGGAGCAGCGGCTGCTGATGGACGGCTGCAGGAGGGTGAGACATTTGGAGCTTCAGTTTTATATCAAAAACACGCTGTGTCAGTAACAGCTAATTTTAGAAGAAAATTAATTCTTTATAAAAAAAATTAATAAAAAATGTAATCTGATCCAGGTAATATTCTGAGATACATGTATGAGACCGGGTCCTGGGTCAATAGATTAGGCAAAGAATCCAAGCTGGTCAGAATTCCCAAAGAGAGCCAATAAACACCTAATCCTGGGTGCTGAGAAAAACTACAAGAATCACTTAAAATGACTATAAATTTATTTTTTAAATGTTCTAAACACATAAATAGTGTTAATACCATACCATACCATACCAATTTATTTATAAAGCACTTTAAACAGTGACAAAGCACACCAAAGTGCTGTACAGGGACACACAGAACAAGCACACAGCAACAGATTACAAAACAGGACACCATAAAGTAGAAACCGACAAAAACAATAATGGATAACAACAACAACCGCAACATGACTAACACAGTGTGATGCACACAGACTCAGCACAGATCACACAGTGCAGAAAGCCAGGGAATAGAAGTGTGTTTTTAAGCGAGATTTAAAAACTGTGAGGGAGGGGGCCTGTCTAACGAGCTGAGGTAACTTATTCCAAAGTCTTGGGCCTGCTACAGAGAAGGCCCTGTCACCTCTGCGCTTGAGGCGGGTTCCTGGGACTGTTAGGAGCAACTGGTCTGCTGATCTGAGAGAACGTGGTGGGACATAAGGCTGGAGCAGATCAGTAAGATAGGAGGGGGCAGAGCTGTTTTGTGATTTATAGACATACAAGAGTATTTTGAATTTGATTCGAAGGTGAACCGGAAGCCAGTGTAGGGAGGCCAAAACAGGAGTAATGTGCTCTCTTTTGCTTGTGCTGGTCAAAAACCGGGCTGCTGCATTTTGGACCAGTTGGAGTCTAGCTATGGAGGTCTGACTGATACCAAAAAGGAGTGAGTTGCAATAGTCGAGCCTGGATGTAATGAATGCATGAATTACTGTCTCCAGGTTATTTTTGGACAATATGGGCTTCAGCTTAGACAGTCGCCTCAGCTGGAAAAAGCAGGATTTAACAATCATATTTACATGATTGTTGAGTTTCAGAGAAGGGTCAAGTATCACTCCTAGATTAGTGACTCTTTGTTTCACTAACGGTGACAGAACGGATAGGTCGATGCAGTGGTTGGTGATAGTGTCATTGGGAGGAAACAGCATAACTTCAGATTTCTTCTCGTTGAAACTCAAGAAATTTAAAGCCATCCAATCTCGGATGTCAGTCAGACAGTCCAGTAACGGTTGAATAGAGTGAGTACCGTTGAGTCTGAGGGGGAAGTAGATTTGGCAGTCGTCTGCGTAGAAATGAAAAGGTATGTTATGTTTCCTGAAAATAGCACCTAGTGGCAGCAGGTATAAAGAAAATAAGAGAGGACCAAGGATGGACCCTTGCGGTACCCCCCATTTAAGCGCTGCTGACAAGGATCTCTTTTAAATTAATTGGACTGTTTCTTGAGTCTCTCTAACTAAAGCTGAAGAGTTTGAGAACCACTGAACTAAACTAAAATCATCAGGAAAACCTTTATTAGTTTTCTTAGATTATAATTTACATCAATTCGAAACAAGCCACTAGGGAGCACAGGCCAGTGTATCTCTTGTGCCAGTCCAAAGCCCGGGTAAATGGTGAGGGTTGTGTGTCAGTAAGGGCATCAGACGTAAAACACATTTGTGAAAACTATAATGCGAGTTCATCAAAGCGAATGATTGGTCGAGGCCCGGGTTAACAACAACCCCCACCGGTGCTGTTGACAAACAGGGTGCTGACGGAAATTGTGCTACTGTTAGTCGAAGACCACGAGGAGAGAAACATGTCAGGAGACAGAGGGAGAAGAGGAAAGTGAAGAATGTAGGACTGAGGGTTGCAACTGTAAATGTGGGGACACTAGCTAGGTTTACATGTGTAGGGGAATACATGTACAGGATATTGGACTTCTGGTCCGGTCAAACTCGTACCCTTTAACAGGCATTTACTCTGGACCGGCCTCACCTCAAACATATATAAACCATGAGTTCTTGTAACAAACTTAATTCATGTCCCTCAAAGAAAACATGAAGAATCCGTAAATTAAATACAATTCTGTAATGTTTATTTTCAGTTTGAATTATGATATGAAAGTTATGGCAAATGTTGAATATGAATATGAACAATTAATATTATTTTAGAAAGTAAATGGCATAAATCTGAGGACTTTGAAAAGGGGTTTTGATTCAATTTGGACTAAGGTCTAGCTCTTAACGTTAAAATTTAGGTAAGTTTATCTCAGATTCATGAATTAAATTATCCAAACAAACTTAGTTGGCACTGTTTCGTGGTCCTTTCATCAGAAGGAAGATGTTCATCTCTCCAACATTTTTCAGTCAGGTCATCTGGACAGTTTCTTTTTTTGTGCTGAAACGTTTCGCCTTCGATCCGGAAGGCTTCATCAGTCAAGGAAACACAACAAAACTGATTCTTCCCCCAACAGCTTCCTCCAAAGTGGAACAAACCAGTTCTGCTTGTGATAAGATGGTCTCTTTGGTATGCCCCCTCCTCCATTGCCGGCCCTCTTCCTTGTGGACAGTCTTGTCAAACTGGTTGAATACAAAAAAGTCCATGCTCAATAATCCAGGTATAAAATCCAACATTTTTTAGTCAGGTCATCTGGACAGTTTCTTTTTTTGTGCTGAAACGTTTCGCCTTCGATCCGGAAGGCTTCATCAGTCAAGGAAATACACAACAAAACTGATTCTTCCCCCAACAGCTTCCTCCAAAGTGGAACAAACCAGTTCTGCTTGGTTTGTTGTTTATTGTTGTTAATTGTTCTAGAATTGCGCCGCTTAAGGTGGCTGCATGTTGGAGCAGCTCTGTTACTTTCATTCTGAGATTTTGCTTTTGGAAACTTTAATTCCTCTTTTTCTGGATGTAAGTCCCAGTTTTTGGATGACCGTTTCCTCTGGTATCAGATGCTGTGCAGCTGGAAGGATTTTTACTGAAACTTTTTAAGTTTTGGACATTTGTTATTATGAGTAACTATGGCAACAAGGCAGTTGATTAACCAACAGCAGCTGATTAACATCTCAAATAATATCTCAACTACAGTCCCAAATCTCAAATGAGTTGAAAAGGATGTTCTGTGGACGCATTCTCATCTACCTGCCAGCTGTGCTCGAGTGCCTGACCACTGAGACCCTGGAACTAGCAGGAAACACGGCTCAGGACAGCAGAAGGACAGGATCGTCCTACGGCACCTACAGTTGGCTGTCCGCAGCAACGAGGAGCTCTGCAGACAGCTGGGAGGAGTGGCCGTCACTCTGGGAGGAGTTCTGCCCAGCATTCGGGTGGTCCTACAGCCCGGGGGAACCGAGAGGCCAGCCGAGTCTGGGTGGATGGATCGGACGGCATCTGCAGCCATTTTCTTAGGATCCACTGTGGGATGGACCTTTACAAGAGATCCTTCCTGTCTACAGCCATCAGCATCTATAACATCTCTTAATGAAATGAGGATAACGAGTTACAACAACAAATCATTTCCCTTTGGGATTAATAAAGTATTTTTGATTTGAATTGAATCGAATTGAAGACCAAATTGTGGAAGCTGAAGAAGGAAGAATGTTGTGAGAAATTCAGAGATAAGCTGTTGAAGGCTCTGGGTAGTAAGAAAGAGCTTCCAAATGCCTGGGCTACTACAGCAACAGTAATTAGAGATACAGGTAGGAAGGTACTTGGTGTGTCATCTGGACAGAGAATGGATGATAAGGAAACCTGGTGGTGGAATAGTGAAGTGCAGGAAGCTATTCAAAAAAAGAGGTTAGCCAAGAAGAAATATGAGTGAGAGGACTGAAGAGAGTAGACAGGAATATAAGGATATGGGATTTTGAGCAAAGAGGGAGGTGGCAAAGGCAAAGCAGAAGGTGTATGATGAGTTGTATGGGAGGCTGGATACTAAAGAGGGCGAGAAGGACTTGTACTGATTGGTGAGACAGAGAGATCAGGCTGAAAAGGAAGTGTAGAAGGTCAGGCTTATTAAAGAAAGGAATGGTAATGTTCTAACAAGTAAGGAGAGTGTGATGGGAAGATGGAAGAAGTACTTTGAGAAGCTAATGAATGAAGAAAATGAAAGAGAAAGAAGAGTAGAGGTCATAGAAACTGTGGACCAGGAAGTGGGAAAGATTAGCGAGGGTGAAGTCCAGAAAGCTCTGAAAAGAATGAAGAAAGGAAAGGCAGTAGGACCTGATGACATGCCAGTGGAGGTTTGGAAATGTCTTGAAGAGACGGCAGTGAGGTTTTTGACTCAAATATTTAACGGCATATTTGAAGGCGGGAAAATGCCTGAAGAATAGAAGAGAAGTGTATTGATGCCCATTTTTAAGAACAAGGGTGATGTACAGAGTTGTAGCAAATACAGGGGAATTAAGTTGATGAGTCACACATTGAAGATCTGGGAGAGAGTTGTGGAAGCTAGACTTAGACGAGAGGTGGCAATTTGTGAGCAGCAGTATGGTTTCATTCCAAGAAAAAGCACCACAGATGCCATCTTTGCTTTGAGGATGCTGATGGAGAAGTATAGAAAGGGTCAGAAAGAACTCCATTGTGTCTTTGTGGATTTAGAAAAAGCATATGACAGCGTGCCGAGGGAGGTGTGGTATTGCATGACGAAATCTGGAGTGGCAGAGAAGCATGTTAGACTGGTACAGGACATGTATGAGGACAGCAGGACAGTGGTGAGATGTGCTGTAGGAGTGGCAGATAACTTCAAGGTGGAGGTGGGATCGTATCAAGGATCGGCTCTCAGAGCCCCTTCTTGTTTGTTCTGGTGATGGACCGATTAATAGATGAGGTCAGGCAGGAATCCCTATGGACTGGATGGAGGTTTGCAGACAATATTATGATCTGTGGTGAGAACATGGAACAGGTGGAAGAGAACTTGGAGAGGTGGAGGTATAAACTTGAAAGAAGAGGAATGAAAGTCAGCCGAAATGACAGTGTACATGTGTGTAAATGAGAGGGAGGCCGGTGGAACAGCGAGGCTACAAGAAGCAGAGGTCACAAAGGTGCAGGACTTCAAGTACTCGGGGTCCACTGTCCAGGAAAATGGGGAGTGTGGTAAAGAAGTGAAAAAGAGAGTTCAGGCAGGATGGAGTGGATGGAGAAAAGTTTCAGGAGTGATTTGCAACAGGTGTCAGCAAAGGTCAAAGGAAAAGTTTACAAGACAGTGGTGAGACCAGCTGTAGTGTTTCTGAAGCTTATAAGAAAACAACCTAGCTGGGAGCACAACATAAATTTTATTGCTGACTGCAGCACTCAAATACATGCGTCCATTTTATTGTTCATCTGGAGATTCTCTAATTCCCAAAGTGTCCACTAGGTTGCACAGTTTTCAAACAATACACAACAGAACTGGGAATATTACACCAGCTACAGTATGTTATATGGTCTGGAGACAGTGGCATTGATTAAAAAGACAGGAAACAGAAATGGAAGTGGACAAAATGAACATGTTGAGGTTCTCATTAGGAGTGACAAGGATGGATAAGATTAGGAATGAGATAATCAGAGATACAGCACAGGTTGAACAACTGGGAGATAAAGTTAGAGAGGCCAGACCGAGATGGTTTGCACATGTCCAGAGGAGGGAAAGTAGGGATATTGGTATAAGGATGTTAGAAATCCAGCTGCCAGGAAAAATACAAAGACAAAGGCCAAAGAGGAGATATATGGACACAGAGAGGACATGGAGTTAGTTGGAGTGAGGACAGAGGATGCAGAAGACAGTGTGAGATGGAGAAGGGTGACTCGCTGTGGTGACCCCTGAAGAGGGAAAAGCTGAAAGAAGAAGAAGATCAATTCTGTTAATTTAACGTCATCTGGCAGCTCAATCCTGGTCCTGATCCTGACCTTACCTTGTCTCTGATCCCCATCTTGATTCTGATCATGTGCTTTTTTCACTGAATTATGATTTTAAATTGTTAATAAAATCTAATGAAACATTTAGTGATGAGATAACTGGTCATTTTAATTAATGAATAATTACTTGTTCCAGATCACAGTTTAAAATATATTATTTTTAATCTTATCATGTCAGATGATGACTAAGTTTATTTATGGTGTAACAAAGCATTTTTTAAAATGCAGAAGTAAAAATAAAAAGATTTTTCTGTTTAAAGAAAATTATGATTCTTGAAATGAATCATCTGCAAACAGTGTCACTTTTAAGGGAAGGTTAGTCATTTTAAACTAAATTAAAGACTTAAAGTGTATTAATGTTGAATTGTAAATAATGATTGTACTGTATAAACTCTTTAAATTGTTGATTTTGTTTGATGGTTGTGTTTTTGTGGTTGAAGGTGATGAGATTCTGGAAGTTAACGGAGATTCCCTTTATGGTCTGACTCACTATGAAGCTCTGCACCGATTCAAAGTAAGGTTTTATTTTTAAGGTCAGACACTTTATTTTGTGTTTTAATTTGACAAGCAAGGTTGTATTTAGTTTGTTTCATGCTGAGCAGTAGTTTCAACCCTGCTGCTCTTGGGTCAAAAGGTCAGCAAGAGGGTAAAGAACTGAACTGTGTTTTTGCAGCAAATCAAAAAAGGTCTGGTGACTCTGGTGGTAAAAACCAGTCTGCATGGTGGGGCCTTACGTGGACGGAAGCAAGTTTTTCAGCTCAGCAGGTCTCGCTCCCTCAGCTCCACTACAGGCTTGGCATGGCTGGGTTCTGACGCAACATGGCTGGGTTCTGACCTCAGCTCTCTGAAGGACAGCAGTAACACACTAAGCCCCACAGACCAACCTGTTAAACCCAGAGACCGGATCATGAAAGAAATCATCCTGCACAAAGGTCAGCATCAGGAGGCGGAACACCCAGAACCAGAATCTGACCAAATGTCAATTATAAAATATGTTAACTTCAGAAGTAAATATATATAAATAATGAAACAGATTAATTTATTTCAGCCTTTCCATAAATGCCAACAAATCCATGAAGGTCACTGAAGTAAACAGATAAACCACAACAACGTTAAAAAGACGTCTTGCAGGGTTGAGTTTATCTGAAAACCTGTAATCATAAAAAAATAAAAAATAAACAGACTGAACAAACTAAGAGTGGCCTTTTATTGTGGTCAGCCTAATACTCACCTGTGCAATAAGTGTTCTGTCTAATCAGCATCTCGATCCGCCACACCTGTGAAGTGGATGGATTATACAGACAAAGGAGAAGTGTTCACTAACACAGATTTACACATCTGTGAACAATATTAGAGAGAAAAAGACTTTTGTGTACTTAGAAAAATTCTTAGATCTTTGAGTTCAACTCGTGAAAAATGGGAGCTAAATTAAAGTGTTGCATTTATAGTTTTGTTCAGTGTAAACAAACTGAACAAACTAAATAAATTAAACAACATTTACAAACGAACAAATTCAACAAACTGAACAAATCCAAAAACTTAACAAATGCAAAAACTCAACAAATTCAACACACTGAACAAACCAAACAAACTAAACAAAATGAAAAAATTAACAAACTGAACATCCATCCATCCATCCATTATCTTCTGCTGGTTCCAAAGTCTGGTCACGAGGGCAGCAGCTTGAGCAGGGAGGCCCAGACATCTCTCTCTACAGCCTCCTCTTCCAGCACTTCTGGGAGGATTCCAAGGCATTCCCATGCCTACCGAGAGACATGCCCCTTTTCCATTAGTACCGGTACGGGCCGAATGGACCCGACTTGGCCCGGTTCTGAGGCGGTACTAAGAACCTGTTACTATTTTGAGGACCCTTGGCTCTGTGGTTCTAACCTGAATGAAGAGGTACTAAAACGTGACGTCAGAACACTGTCGGTCACTGATTGGTCGGGGGCGGAGTTGGGGGCGGAGTCACTGGATCCTTCAGAAACTTTTTAAAACAATGATCCACCATTGGCAATTTCTCGGACTGGAGCAGCGGCTGGACCTATTTTAAAGATTTTTAAAACAATAATGACAACATCTTGGTCTAATGCTGACGTGCTGGCGTTTTTTGTGCTTGGTGGCCGACGACATATTTCAAAGCAAGCTGGATGAAGCTCTGCTAGTCTACCCCGGTCCTCCCCCCGGAGCTTCGGAGCGCCAGGCCGGGCAGGGCGTCATCTCCCTGGCTCCAAGTTCCGCTGGTCACTGCGGAAGATCCTTTGTTGTGCCAACTCGGGGGTCGGGTTCCGGATCCCATCCTTGTGTGCTCAGAGCTCCGCTGGTAACTGCGAAGCTGGAGCTGGTGACTTGCAGAAGGCCATTGCCAGACCCTGGCCTCGCGTAATCATGAAGGCCGAATCCCGATCCCACCCAGCAGTCAATGACCCCACCTCAGCTGGGATACAGTTAAAACTCTCACGGAAGTGCGAGTTGACGATCTTTCTGACAGGTTCTTCTGCCAGGCATTCCTCGCAAACCCTCACTACACGTTTGGGTCTGTTGAGTCTGTCCAGCATCTTACCCCGCCATTAAATCCAACTCACTACCTGGTGGTGATCAGTTGACAGCTCAGCTCCTGTCTTCACCCGAGTGTCCAAAACAAATGGCTGCAAATCAGATGACACAACTACAAAAGTCAATCATCGATCTACGACCTAGAGCATCCTGGTGCCAAGTGCACTTATGGACACCCTTATGTTCGAACATGGTGTTCGTGATGGACAAACTATGACTAGCACAGAAGTCCAACAAAAGTACACCGATTGAGTTCAGATCAGGGAGGCCGTTCCTCCAAATCACACCCCTCCAGGTCACACTGTCATGACCATGTGTGCTTTGAAATACCCCAGCAGAATAAAGGAGTCCCCAGCTGGTGCACATTCCAACAACCCCGCCAAGGATTCCAAGAAGGCCGGATACTCTGAGCTGCCATTTGGCACATAGGCACAAACAACAGTCAGAGCCTGTCCCCTGACAAGGCACAGGGAAGCCACCCTCTCATCTACCTGGGAAAACTCCAACACACAGGCACCAAGGTGGGGGGCCAAAAGTAGACCCACACCAGCTCGCCACCTCTCACCATGGGCAACTCCAGATTGGAATAAAGTCCAGCCTCTCTCAAGGAGATTGGCTCTGGAGTCCATGCTGTGAATCGAGGTGAGCCCAACTATATCTAGTTGGTATCTCTCAACCTTGCACAGAAGCTCAGGCTCCTTCCCCACCAGAGAGGTCACATTCCATGTCCCAAGAACCAGCTTTGGTAAGCTAGGGTCAGAGCGCTAAGGTCCCCGACAGACAGCATAGCTCCTAGGATCTTTCAGGCACACATACTTCTCCACCATAATAAGGTGGTGATTCAGAGAAGAATCAGTGGAGGAGACAAACTGAACAAATTTCACAAATAGAACAAATTAATCAGATGAGAATTAGCACCTCCAAATCTGAGGCCATGGTCTTCATTAGGAAAAGTGTTGATTGCTCTCTTCAGGTTCAGGTTCTGCCTCAAGTAGAGGTGTTCAAGTATCTTGGGGTTTTGTTCACGAGTGAGGGAAAAATGGAGCATGTGATTGACATACGGATTGGTGCAGCAACTGCTTTATTGCAGACTCTGTGCTGGTCCGTAGTGGTGAAGAGGGAGCTGAGCTGTAAGGAGAAGCTCTCTGTTATCAGTCAGGCTACGTTCCCACCCTCACCTATGGCCTGGGAATAATTTGGGGTCCTCCCAGAAGATCTGGAAGAGGTGGCTGTGGAAAGAGATGTCTGGGCCTCCCTGGTCAAGCTGCTGCCCCTGCAACCTGACTTCAGAGCAAGTGGAAGATGATGGATGGATGGATGAACAAATTAAACTGAACAAACTGAACAATGTAACAGATGAAACAATGTAAACAAACTGAATAAACAAAACAAATGAAACAAACTGAAAAAAATTAACAATTCAAGTAAGATTATTTCTATATCACCATGTCCCAACAGAAGTCGTCTCAGTGCACTGTATAAAAACATTCACATACATTCCATCCATCCATCCATCCATTTTCTTTACCCGCTTCATCCATTTTGGGTCACGGGGGTCGCCGGTGCCCATGTCCAGCAATCACTGTGTGAGGGGCGGGGTACACCCTGGACGGGTCGCAAGTCCATCACAGGGCCACATAGAGACAAACAACCATTCACTCTCTCACTCACACCTAGGGACAATTTAGAGTTACCAATCAGCCTAACATGCATGTTTTTGGTCTGTGGGACCAAGGACCTGCTCGCTGAGAGGCAGCAGCTCTACCAGTTGCACCACCGTGCTGCCCTTTCACATACATTATAAAAGCTTATTAGTAAAAATTATCTATCTAAGGAAGCCAGCAGATTGCGTTGAATCATCACTTTGTTACAGTCTCCCATCCTGAGCAAGCACAAAGGCAACAGTGGAAAGGAAAAACTCCCTTTTAACAGGAAGAAACCTCCAGCAGAACCAGACTCAGGATGAGCAGCCATCTGCTTTGACTGGCTGGGGCTTGAGAGGACAGGACAAACAATGTCTTTAAAACAATTTATGTTTTTAAGACATGCTTGTAATCTAACTGGAATCACTGGGTTTCATGAACAAATACACCTGAGTATCGTCAGCATAACAATGAAAATTTTTCTCATGCTGTTTAATAACTTTACCTAATGGAAGCACAGATAAGATAAGATAAGATAAGATAAGATAAGATAAGATAAGATAAGATAAGATAAGATAAGATAAGATAAGATAAGATAAGATAAGATAAGATAAGATAAGATTGAACTTTATTGATCCCGCAGGAAATTGTTGTGCCATAGTATAAAGGAACATACACAAGGAATCACACAAGATATAAAAATAACATAATATAAAAAAAAATAACAGAGGTACAAAAATACCAACAATTATAGTCCAAGTATAAATATAGTATAAAGTAAAGAGTATTGGTCTAAGCACTGAACCTTGAAGATTGAAGAAAAAATGTATGTAGAAGTATGAAGAAGATTCATTATGACAACAAACAGAACAAACTAGTTAAACGTTTTAGTTCTGAATGTTTTTGATCTTTAGAGTTTGTCTGAAAGAAGTATTTCCTTCCAACTTTTTAAAGCTTTAACTTCTTGTCAGGAGGTTTATTCTGTTCCATCATACCATGCCGAGAAACTCAGGAAACGGAAAACACTTCTGAAGAGTAGATCTTCTGAATATAGTGGCAGCAATGGTGTGTGTGAAAAAGATTTCCCTGCAGCGTTCAGTTGTTCTATCGGAAGCTACAGCTATCAAACTCTGAAATGCAAACCTAGATGTGGACATTTGAGGGTTTGGAAGGGATTTCTTAAATATGACCAGACTTTAGGACCAGAAGTCTTTAGGTTCTGGTTTATTTTGCAACAATACCTGGCGCCAACCAATGACCATCATAAAGATATGAGGCAGTTCAGCCATTTTAAAACAAAAAGAATGATTGATTTATGACCAACTGACCTTTATGTTGTAACCGGTGTGCAACTTCCTAGAGGCAGGAGTCGGGTTGGGAATCGGACTGTGCTGTGTTCCCTCTGATGAAGGATGTTCAGGGATCTTTATTCACACCATCTCTCCTGGATCCATCGCTCACATTGATGGCAGACTGAGGTAACGAATGAAACAGACTTGCCAGAACAACTTGTTTGAGTTCAGGCTGTGACCTTCTGATATCTTCAGATGTGGGGATGAAATCAAGGAGATCAACAAGACTTTGGTTTACAGCATGGGCCTGAATGATGTCTACTCCATCCTGAGCCAGTCCAAACCAGGTCCAGTCTACATCATCATCAGCCGCCACCCTGACCTCAAAGTATGCAGATGTTTAATTTCATTTATCTAGTTGTAACATAAATATTTATTGTCACCGGCTGCTGAAGGTGAAGGCAGATCATAACATTCCTTTAGTCCATCAAAAATGTTGGCACACACATCGAACGCTCATCAGAACCAGCTCTGCTTCCTGTTTTCTAAGGACTATTTGTTTGGACTATAGACTGCAAGAAGGTTTCAGAACAGTCCATGTGAAGAGCTAAAACTGATCCTGATGTGGTTCTTGGCCTCACGAAGAATGCTAACGTCCTGAAAGTTTACCTTAGAAACTTAAACATTGTTAATATAAACTTTGACTCTGAACTTTTAATGTAAAATATAGTTTTGAGGAAATTTTTAGATTTAAGTTTTTTTTTTTCCTGATAAAAACAGCATCAGTGTTTTTTAATTATGATGGTAAATATTTCCATACTCTTTCACAGGTGTCAGCAAAGCAGCTGAATGATGCCATCATCGAGGCGGTGGAAAACAGCAAACTGGAAAAAAACAAGAGTCAGTGGAAAACTGATGGTAAACTTTGATCATTATTATTGGCCACGGTAACATGGGTCATGATGTTGTGTTATTTGAGGGGGGATGGAGGATATAAGAGCCAATAATCCTCCTGAGGTGATGATCCCTGACTGAAATCTTAGAAAAAACTGCAGTTCCCTCCAGCTGACCCAACAAGTTTATACCAACATGTCAGCCATGGAGGCTTTTTAAAGCCAAGCATATTTCCTGAACTGATTCTCTTAATAAAAAAAAAAGCCAACACTCTACAAATACACCAGTGGAAGATCAAACAGATCATCTCCTCCCATTACAAGGTCTTCAACCAATCCCAACAATTATCACAGAGCAAACAGCATACAGATAACAAAACCCATCTAAGACCAGTGAGATAAAATGTTCAAATATCAGATGAGCTGAGATGGTCCAGACATCAGAATGTGATGTTTGGACCTTGATGTAAAACCCTAGATTTCAAAAGGATGGAGTGACTTCATGAATCAATAATTGACTAGAGGTTTAGAAGAAATGAATGTGAACACAAACCATGACTCAAGTGTTTTACGTGCATCCTTCTTCTTGTGTTGAGTTTAAAGAGAATACATGCCTCATGGTATTTCATAACAATTTATTAAAGTCTCCACGATTCAAATTTTAGCAGATCGTTTTCTTATCTTTTCAAAGGAATGTGTAAAGAGGATACCTGCTCTCACAGAAGACAGGGATGTGAACACTGTCTGGAAAGGACCTTTAGTCAGACATGTCCTTTAGTTCCACCAACACAGAAGATGGTGACTCGTTCATTGAGCGACAGCATCCACCAGAACTATGGGTTTACAAACCAGGACCTGAAAAACACACAACAAAAATCACTGACCAGAGGTCACAGAGCAGACACAACCCAGGTAACCACACCCATCTGACACCTGTCTCACATCTGACCCGTCTCACATCTGACACCTGTCTGACATCTGACCCCTGTCTAACATCTGACACCTGTCTGACATCTGACCCCTGTCTAACATTTGACACCTGTCTAACATCTGACACCTGTCTGACATCTGACACCTGTCTGACATCTGACACTTGTCTGACATCTGATTGGCATCTGACACCTGTCTCACATCTGACCCGTCTCACATCTGACACCTGTCTGACATCTGACCCCTGTCTAACATCT